AGTTGAAATATTCGGACAGATACACATATAAGCAAACACATATATACACAAACATACATACATACATACACACACACACCATGAGTCGTCACAATATGCGTTTTTGCGTAAATACAAATGCAAAAACGCATGAAAATGTGAGTCATTTATGCACGTTACGCTGCAGTAGCTGAGAAGCACCATCCTACTCAATGACCACTGTTTTAATCGGAAAGCATGCATCATTCTGGAATAGAAAAGGTGGAATCTAGGTGCCCTCTTGGAAATAACGTACGCTTATTGCTTTTTAACGACAAGAAAAAACACTGAAGAGAAAACTGGGCACCTTAAAACGGAAAATTCCAAAGAATAGTTTTTCTTATGGTCTGCAAGCGAAACCTTGCTTGTTGAAATTCTTTTTCCCGAAAAAGGCTTAAAAGCGCGATTCAGAGACAATGAAAACAAAAATCGCTGATTTACAGTGGTGAAGAAAGTGGAGAATTCTACGACCCATTCTTTTGGAATGAGACAGATCACTGATCTGTTTTCACTATTTTAGACTGCAGTTTGGCTAGTTAATGCCTCAGTCTTGGTCTTCATACTGCCTTTCCTTGCCAAAAAGCAGTTCCCAGTATCTGCTACTGCAGCCGCTTCGGCCTTGATTAATTTTTGCCTCATCTCGCCCCTCAAACCGAATCTACTGTATCCTTTTACTAATTCAAGGTAGTCTTCATAATTAAGCTTGCCAAATTCTGCTGTGTTTTGGAGCGAGAGCGCTTTTTGGTTTTGGATAGAAGTGGATACATTTCGTTAGGTTGTCCGGCCGATTCCGGTTCTAGCGATAACAGCTCAGCAGCCGTTTCACGCGGCGATACAAATAAATCGTCCACGTGCAGCTGTGTTGGCTTTCCTTCCTGAAATCTCATAATTTTCGTTGTTCGCTCAAGTCAATTTCTATTTTAATTGCTCACGAACTTTACAAATATAATCAATTTTTTTTCAGTTTTATTCTAAATTTTATCAAACCACGCCTCTAAAACTATCACTGATGCAGACTATGGTCGCATAAAGGTCAATAAGTTTTACGACTTTTTGTCAACTCCTGTTTTCCAGTCAACATTTTGAATCAGATTCAAAAAAAAGAACGGGCGAGAATCACTTTTTACATGCATTTTGTTGTCAGAACCATCAAATAAAATTATCGTAGTATTACGCACAAGAAGCAGAGAAATTTTTTAGTTTTCTTTCTTGAGAATTTATGAACTTCTCCAGTTCCTTAATATTTCCGAAAACCCGCTCCACTGCATCTACTGTTGAGGAGTAACGATAAATATATAATTTTAAGCTTTGTCTGAACAAACAAAGGAGTTAATCTTAAATGCTTATCAAAATGGCCATGTTTTGTGCGTTAACCGACATTTTTGGCGATTGCTTGTTCAATGACGTTGTCCAAATCAATGTTGTCGATAACTGACGGCTCTACACCACACTTACTCCCGACTTCATGTAGCAAATCGCGTACTTTTAACCTTAATATTGGAGAAATAATAAAAATTTTGCAAGAGCATTTCTTTGGAATCGTGGTATCAGCTAGTTGAACGAATCTAATAATGAATGACTAAGCAAGAGATTCTGCTTTGCCACGGTAATTCTGCCGAACCGCAATTTTTATCAGTCTGCATT